ATTAAATTTACAAATAAGCTAACGTAGTTACGTGCCGTACAAAGAACACCCTCTAACCCCACTAGTACTCGAGTTACATTGTATATCTCATGGGATTCCCCTGCGAGAATATGGTGTGAGGTTAGTCTGTAAGTACTGGTAGATGACCACATTGAGCAGAAAAGGGTATTCCTCCTGCTTTACAGAACTATACACCTCAGGGGTAAAGTGCACTATCTCGCTTCATATAACTAGTAGTACGTACCCAGTGCGAGTGATTTGGCTGCGAGTGCGTTACCCGAGGAAACGTTAATTATTAGCAGTTATCTACGCTTTTTAACTTCCTCTGCCAGACATTTTGATTTCCACTGCCATCTTCCCATTTTAAAGTACTTTTGGTAAATATAACTCGCTTACCTGCAAAGATTCGGTGAGCAATTCCTCTTCTCCTTCACGTCCACGCTCACCTTCGAAACGACATGCTGTCTGCATTGTTTACATCTCGTATCTGAGTCGAGAAGCCGCGTTATTTCAAACTGTGTCAAGATGGCTGACGCCCGGGGTTCGAAAGTGGACGGTGAATATGATTCTTTTTTTCGATATTGATTAAGGCCATTTACCTGCCATTTTATGCTTTACCCATAGCAATTGTTCTCAGATAAGTTAAAAAAGAAGCAATCCATGCACTAAAAAGGCGTTTTAATCCTATTTTTTGTCCCTTTAACCTACTGACAGAATTTTTAAAAGTTTATTTTGACAATAAATGAATAAAAATTGGCCCACTTAAATAATATATAGTGCCTGTTTTATAAAGAGATTGATATGGCTGATAATATTTTTTTAGTTGACAACTACCCTGAGGTGAAATAGACCAAATACATGTAGTACATCTATGCATTTTGGAAAAATTAGCAACCATATAAGATATTGTTTCAAAGGGGCATCTAGTTACCATTCTTAAACTAGTTAAGACAACTGATGATCCTAGCATAGGCCTGATTTGAGTCAGAAATTGGTCTTATCAAAGACTGCAATGAATATTTAGGTGGAAATGTTGAGGTTCACAAATTCTTAAAAAGGCCATTTATCTAATATTTCAGTCTTTCATGATTTGAGATGATAATTGTAGACTATTCTTCAGATCAAGCAATGATGATAATGAGACAATAGCCAGAGCACAGACTGGAGACTACTGGGTAGTGGGCAAGAAGTCAGACCAGCGGGAATTCTATGTTGTCATCAATCAGAAAAATGCCAACCTTATTGAAATTAATGGTGATTATCTTTTTATGACTGTATATTTATCATTTATATGGCAATTAAGAGACATTTCACTGAGTTAACTGGATGGGCAGTTTAAAAATACAACACTAACATTTTCAGTATTTGGCAACAGAATGAAGATAATTGAAACTTACACTTAGTAAAATTGTAATGATTTGTTAAGAAGTTTTTAAGATATTAGTTTTATGATGATTATTATTTTTTATTTTTTCAGAGGAAGTGAAGAAGCTGTGCACGTCTCATTTCAGCAATATTTTCTTTCTGGACTGAAATCAAAATTTCAGCAATCAAGTGCAATATGTTTTTGTTAAAAATGAGGATAGAAATTTGTCATAAAATAATGAACTTCGATCGGATGATTCAGTTGGCAAGGGACAATTATCAAGTAAATCTCTTCAAGAACAGTCAGAAGAATAATATATTCCTTAGGATTAATTACACACTATGACAATCTTTATCCTTCAGTTATATTTAAGTTTTTAGGCCCCAATCCCATAGACACAATTAGTCCACGCAGAACTGAACTCTACAGGGACTCTTGCTGAATGCAGCCAGGTTAACCGAATGACATGCCGCCTCCTGGTGTCAAGTAGAATACAGAAAATCTGGTGATTATAGGAGTACCTTGGAGACGAGAGGAGGTGTGCCATACAGTTCAGCCTAATTGCAGTTAGCAAGATCCCCTGCAGAGTTGGGTCAATCCACATGGACCGATGATGATATCTTTGTGAAAAGGGTCTCATTTATATTTTGGAGGTTCAATTAATCCATCTGGAAGAGAACATACTAGAGATCAAAAACTGGATTTGGCAGATCACTAAGATGTGATTATTTTTTAAATAGGAGGACATTACTGATATGATAAACATGATTGTGCTCTGTGTTACATTGTAATTACAATGGGATTCATGACCTTTGATCTTTTTTTAAAATGATTTTTGTGTTTATTGGATGCTTTCTCACCTAATAATAAATTATGTTTTGTCTAAATAGACTTTTTGTATGAAGGATGGGCACAAACAACGGAAAATCATCAAATTGATGGCACATTTTTTGATGTTATATTGCTTTTTATCATAGTACTATTTTAGTATTTTTTTTCCAGCAGTATCATTTTATCTATGCCAGTGGGAAGGTTGTACTTTCATCAGTATTGATTTTCCTGTTTGTATGTGCCTTAGACAACGGTTTCATAATTGTCAGTTCATATCTCTGACAAAGAAAATATAAATCTGAATTCATTCATCATAGTTGATCAACCACTGTATTAATTTGTGTCGCAGTGGCAGAGTGTTCCCCAAGGAACAATTTTAGTTTAAAGTCACCTTATGGCTAAAGCATAAGATATTGCAATAATTGATCAATTTAACACATGCTTGATAATTGCCAAGTTAAATTTGAATGATGAAAGACTGTTTTGCCACATTTTCTGAGTCTTCATTTTTCTTCAGTAAAATCAAACTTCTTGTCTGCCTATATCTGTATTACATAATGAAAAGTAAAAAAAGCATTGTCTTTTACCTAAATGCAGCTTTTATTGTAGACTTCTCAGAGGTCTATTGCCATGTCTAATACCTGGCTTGGTTTCTAAATTGTGAAAAAATCTTTTACTGGATTTGAACACAAAGTCAGTCCATGTAATGGTTACACTGACTTAAGCCAATTAAGTATTTTTGAAAGTTACATATAATTTTTCATTGGTATTAGTTTGGAAATCTGATGGAACTTTTTGTATCTACAACTACATGTATTAGAAACCTGCAATTCAAGATATAATGGCAAAACACTACTTTACACCCATTTGATCAGTTTGGCAGATCTTTATTTCATTTCTCTCAAATCAAATCACATTTTACACAGCAATTGGCTTCTTAATAAACAATACATCATCCATGTGTGTTTGCACACACTGGCATGTGTACGAGCATGTGCATGTGTGTGCTTACGTAGTTTAACTAACAAGTGAGCACTGCATTTTGCAATTACTTCTAACAATATGTACACATTGGCATTGAGGCGGTTGACCTGGGTTCTTGAAATACTCCTTAACTAATACAATTATTAATACAACAACAGGAATGTTTACATAGACTTTTGCTATTTGGAAAGATTTACAACATGTGGTGCTCTCAACAATATAAATATATTTTCATAAAATGAGCGACTATTTTTGACTGATGGCTACTTATTAACCAAAATTTAAATAGGTAAACCAAGAAAAAAGGATAAACTTCACTAGAGATTCAAAAAAAAAAATTTAAATGCAGAACTTTGCCATGCAATGAACTACAGACAGAGTTTAATTTTTTTTACTTTGAGTACATCTTTTCATACAAACATACAATCACTTCTGATGTCTGCCTTTTATAGGAAGGCAATTAGCACTTTCACTTCTCAGCCACATTTTCAAATATCATTCCATAAAACGGACACTTTGCTGTAAACTTTAAACCATGAAATTTGCATCCTCTAAAAATTGGAATGTACTAAAACTCCAGTCCATTTATGATTTGTAGGTAAGTGACAATCAAGTTGTTTCAAAACCAACTGATAACTATCTGTACTTGTGCATGGATGACAACATCTGTAGCATTGTTTAAAACAAGATTAAAGAAAGGTATATTCTTTCAGTACTGTGCACCACAAGTAATTTAAAATCAAATATGTATGTATTGCACAGTGGCCGGCATATAGTTATTGGTTTATATAATAATAATAATAATAATCACATGCAGCTCATTTCCCATTTTAAAACTTTTACAATTATAATAGTAATTTCTATTGCTTTTTTCTTATATGTCATTATACATATTTCTAGCTGAGCACCAACAAATATTTTTCACTGTTCATTTTTTACAGCACCAAGATATTTACAGCCCTCAGCTCTTATTTTGAAACTATATAGAACAATTTGGAAAACACAACATTTTATCACATTTCTAATAGGTAGATTCTGCATTTTTTCCAACTAGATAGGCTTGACAAGTGCTCTGAGTACACTTCACTTCTGTATTGTTTTACTATTTTACAGACTAGAAGGGTTAAAACATTGCTATCATCTAAATGAACCCAATTACTGTTTTTTACTAATAACCACACATAAGCAAAATTAAATGTGGCATTTACCCAGGCTGATCTTGGATAAATTAACTGCGTAAGATTATAGATGTTACACCCCTCTCAAAATTAAGATTACAATTTTTTTCATTTTTTTTCTGCTTTTTGTTTTTTAAATTAGATATCTTTTTGGCGAAACTATACAAAGTATTATACTGGTAGTTCAAACACTGTTATTGATCCAAGACAAATGTCCATATTGTACATAATCTTTAATGGAAATCTCCTTTCTCAACCAAATATTTCCCTTTCAAACAGCTAAGGTGCTTGTACAAATTAATCTATTTATGCAAGTTTCACAAAACTGATATTATAAATTATTGTTTTATTGTACATGTAAAACTATAATTATATCAATAATCCTGTCAAATATAAATGATTATATAGAGGTATTACCTGGGTGTGTTTACTTCAAACGTGTTTTGGGAAACCTCAGATTTTTAAAAATGTACTTATTAAAAGAAATTTTTTTTTGTAAAATATCATTGCATCTTGGTCAAATGTGCATGTTAATAGTATATATGAGGTGGGGGGAAATCACAAACTTTATTCTTACAAAGATTAAAAACTTTCCTCTATTCTTAAAGAAAAATTTACTTTTTACTTTTTCATGATATTGCCTGACAAAATTTTTGACTCTGTACATATAACTATGAATTAATTTATATGTGGTTATGGTTTGACCTTTTCAAGGGAAAACTGAAGTATACAGATACTGTATTTTTTAAATAATAAATTCTTAAACTAATTCTAATTGGATGTAAGCAACAAAACTGAAAAGCAGGCTACCCTGTTGTTATAATCTATGCAGTAAAAGAACCACCAATTCTAAATAGAAATACTATTTTATGATTTCAAAATTATGTATGTATGTAAGGATTGATAAATTTTGCCATTTACAAGATCAAGTCATTACCACACTCATAAAACATGAGACATTTTATTTTAATTATTTTTTTAAATGCTGATTATTATAGGTAACATTTAGTGATTTACTGTTCCCCTTTTTGAGGTTACGCATACCACATTTTACCTTGTGTTAAACACAATATATTTCCTTAAGATGAAACAGAACCCAAATCTTCCACATTCACATCTCACTGGATACCAGCTTATAGAATAATTTTGCCATTTCCTGGCTGTGCTTCTCCATCCATTTGTATATAGTAAATGTTTTATTTACAGGACATATAATTACAGGGCTTCAGTAAATGCAAACCACTTCTTCAGATAAGACAAGACTACTATTACATAATTGTTGTACTAACATCATCAGATTTATCTAACCAGATTGTAGTAGTACACATATAAACTATATTATTTTGCTCTTAGGTTTCTTCATACTTATACTGGTTGGTACCTTAATTTTGCTCTATTTGTCTATGTACAGGACATAAAGTAACAGGAAGTTGTAAAGTGATTATTAAAACTACAGAACCTAACAGGGAAAGACAGCATTAAAGCCCAGTTGATTCATCTGATGACTCCCCCTCGTCTTTGTCGAAAGATTTACTGGTTCGGTGATTATTAGAGTTGGGGGTAGGAGGCTGGGACAAGTTTTCCGCATTAAGTAGGTCGCTCTTTGAGAACTTAAGTGCAGGGTTGACCTTCCCGTTGGTTTCGTAAGTTTTTTGGTCTAAAGTAATGCTCGTCATCTCTGCTTCTGAGGGGGTGGCAGCTCTCAGCCCTGTTTTCTCCTCTGGGATATTGACTATACATTGAAAAACATCATAATGCTTGGGCAGCATCCCATTTTCAAAGACATACTTAAATGGCAAAGACACAGCCCATATAGTAAATAATGTTATCAGCATGGAGAGAGTCTTGTATGGGAATAACTGTGCATTATTTTTCTCGTCGTAAAATGGATACTTGATCAATGGATGTAAGCCAATCAACATCTCACCCCCAGCAAGACGGAAGAACAGACCAAATATAAACCCTGCTAAAGATCCGTAAGTGTTGGCAGCTTTCAAGTAGATCACGCAGACGAGTTGGGGGAACAGAATGACGTAGACGAGATCGGAGCATAAGAACCATAAGCCATAGATTGTAGAGATTGTGATCCCCATTATTGTAGCCAAGGCGCCAACTCCAAAGATGGCAAAACGCATGACCCAAATGATTTCACGCTCAGATGCCTGAAAAAAAAATAATAAAAAGGATAAAATATATTGTACACAACCACTGAATAATCATGAATATCAATTTTGACAATTGTATTTTTATATATCTTCTAATGAGAGTTGAACATATACATGTATCTCTTAATGAGAGTCCAGGTGTTCTTCATAGCTATAAACAGATAGCTAAACAGATTTTAATTATTTAATGGAATATCTATTTCACTTGAAAATACAATCTTACTTTTTGTCAGACTGCAAATTATACACAATTATAAAACCATCCACTTTTTTAATCTTTTTCATTTTATATATCAGCTATCTTGAATTTTAACTGTATATCAATCCACTAGGACACATATTGTCTATAAATCCCAAATATCTCACATTTTGCCTGCATGTCATCTTGTACACATTCCTAGCAAACATGGAGCTTGCAGAAAGAACAGAGGAGTCTGCAGACGACATGACAGCAGCAGAGATGGAGCCCAGTCCAATAAAAGATACAGCAGTGGGGCAAAGGTACTGCAACACCAGGGGCAGCACCAGCTTCTGTTCTTCTGCAGGAATAGGGAGCTCACCATCGTACTCTGTTGAATTCCAGTCTGGAATATACACCTTTATGAGAAATACCTTTTTCCCAAAACAAGCAAATGACTAATCATATATGAAAAAATGTTATATACACAAACTGTTACAAGTCATAAAAAAATTATAAATAATACCAGCCAATGCAAAATTATTAATATGAAATTTTTGGTGATTCATTGGAACACCTGGAGGCAAATCAAAAAGCTCTTATCGACAAATATATAGTGCATCACTTCTATATTTCTAAGACTAACATATTGAAATCAATAAAACAGCAACAAATTGTGATGGCTTTCTCAAAAATGAAAAAAAAAAATCTTGCAGCCATACAAATGTATAGAATGAGTAAATTGAATTAAAATTACCATTATCAATATTAATGTAAATCCATTTAAATAATTCCGTAATAACATTCTTACATATCATTATATTCATTATCATTATTTTGTTGCGTCCCTACCAGTAGATGAGGCGATGGCTCCCACTAGGACTGCTGGGATAGCCAGGACCACCACACCAGCTGCGGCCACATATGACAGGATCTGGGCACGGAACGCTGTCTTTGCCGAGAGAACTCTTTGAAAATATACCTACAACACATACATAAGTGAGATGACAAAAGGCCTATATGTTAAATAAGTCACTGGCAGGTAAGGATTAGACTTTATTTAATTTGTCATAATTTGGTGACAAACAAATCTTTCAACTCCTACTAAAGATATGGGCTTTCCTTGTCAAAGCTGCTAATCTAAAAAGTTTTAAACCAAAATCATAACCTATATGACAAAACATTAACAATCACTTGAGGAATTTGTGTTACTTGAAAAATTTCCATTCATAATTGAGAAATGCGCTACTTTGTGTTGGTTGTAACACATAATTGAGAAATGCTACATTGTGTTGGTTGGGACACATAATTGAGAAATGCTACATTGTGTTGGTTGTGACACATAATTGAGAAATGCTACATTGTGTTGGTTGTGACACATAATTGAGAAATGCTACATTGTGTTGGTTGTGACAGACTACCCACCTGCCATGGGATGCCACCAAATGTGAGAAGCAGAGCAGAATCTATGTAGGTGCCACTCTGAGAGGCAGGAAGTGTTCCAATCCATTTAGGGGCAGTCTCCACTATATTGCCCACTGACGGGTGGGTCATAGCAAATGGTATGGACAGCCACTGTAATTAAATTTTTAAAAAATTCAAACTTTTGAAAGATTCCAGCAAGATTTCATAAATGTTTTAAATAAAAAATGATTTACACTGGAAAATATTGCCATGCCATTGTAAGCAAACATCACTAAAAATTAAGAAATAAATAAATTGATTCAGACTAGCTGCTGCAGTGTTATGCTTAAATTAAGTTGTCGAGGCCTAAAGAGTCAATCACTAATCAAACACTTATCACTAGTCAAAAGTTCATCAGTTAAAATGAGGTAACTTTTTATCTCTTTTTTTAGTTGTCTGGAATTAGATTTTAAGACCTTGGTCAAGTGTGACATGCTCACCAAACCAATCACTATGCACATCAACTGTATGACGTCTGTATATGCCACTGAGTACAGCCCTCCAAACAATGTGTACACCACTGCTACACAGGCTGACACTATGACAGCTGTCGTGTTGTCCAGCTCTATGATGACAGAGAGAGTGGCTCCTGAAAATAAACAGTTTGGAACAATTATATTTTATATTTTTGATATGTTAGAATACATATCCAGCTAATATGAAGAAAAATATGGACCAGGGGCCAGTTTTACAAGCACACACATACACACACGCGCACTTACACAATTTACAAAACGAAAACAGAAACTTGGTGTTAGTTTTAAGAATTTTGCACCTCTCCAATACAAAATCCATCCTTAGTAGTCCCCTAAAAATAGCTATTTTGCAATTTCTTTTTCTTTCTCTCTTTTGTTTTTTTAGAGATAAAACATAAGCAATATTCCATCTGAGTGGATTACTGCAGATCAATTAGACTGAATGGCCAATATTCAGTCTTTAAAGACTGATAGGTTATCATGTAAAGCTGGCCCTGTGTTTGTCTTGTTGCTGGCACACCAAACACAACTCAACACATATCCAAGCACATCCATGATCTTTTGCATTGCTGTCAGGTTTTGAAAAACCTCAAAACCTCTTAAATACAACATGTGGTTTATATGAGTGCACTGATACAAACATAATAATCTTATGTAAAAAAAAAATGACTGATAAAGAAAAAAGAAAAACAACTGCAATTAAAAGATGGCCCCCAAACAGGTAATGAAATCTACTTTGTACTTTCTGATATTCTTTCAACAGGGATCCATAACAACACAAGCATGGACAGCAAAATAATGTAACTGTTGAATTAACCTTTTTTGATAAACTTTCAAACAAAGTATGTAAGCAGATAAAATCCAACTAACCCAAAGCAGACAAAATGGCTGCCGACCAGAAGACTTCCCCAAGCAAGGCTGGTATAAACAGAAGTCCACCCATTCTCTCTCCATATTTCCTTTGGAATGGATCCAGCATGGTGACATAACCTTCTGTCCTCATTTTATTGGCAAAAAAGAGGCCACCTGACAAAAAAATTCATTTTGAAAATCAATTTGAAAATTTTCAAGGACTACATTTCACTTTCTATGATACACTGGGGGCCGTAGCGATAGTCCGAAGGTTCAATAGTCCGAAGGTTCATTGGTCCGAATGTTCACTATAGAACCTTTAGACCAATGAACCCTTGATTAAAAAATCGATAAAAATGTTACCACTTTTCGGACCAATGAACCTTCGAACCAATGAACCTTCGGACTATCGAGATGCCCCCATACACTGCATACATGTACATAAAACCACTTCTTCAGTGCTGTCATTTTCTTTTTTTTTTTTTTAGCAATTAGCAATTAAAGCATTCTCTTTTCTTCTATCCTTTTGAATTTCAGTCAAACAAAAGCATTCATTTCATAAGCACTATGTTTGTCACAATTTGAAGATGTAATAATAGATTTCAGCAAAGAAGATCCTAAGGAGATGAAATTTATCATTTTCTCCCTTCAATTTGCTACGGATTATGAATTATGTTTCTTCAAAAAATCTTAGGTTGTGCACCCAAGAGATTACTCAGTAAGATCATTTAGGAAAAATTAAATGTGCAATTTCATTTTAGTGTCTCTGATCCATTTACAATTAAAATCCATGCGTCAAACTTGTACATAAAGTGTGAGGCAATAACATCAATGTGTGACTTCCAAGGGTCTTGGTTTTTAATCATCAAGCATGTTAATCTCTTTATCTGATGCATTCAGTGAGAGTTCCTGCAGAGTTGGATCGATCAATGTGGACCGATTGGTTCATTGGGAATGACCCCTAATACACAATATTTCAATGTTTCTTATTCATAGCTTTCTGACGTATACATATCATAGCTTTCTGACGTATACATAAAAAAAGAAGAAGGGTCATTGGATTCCTACAACTTAGAACTCCTCAGAGTATATTAACATTGATTTTTTGTCGGGTATTAACTCCAAATTTATTATGTCTGGCCTTAATGAAGTCAGACGATAAATAGCACCCATATTATCCTGAGAAACAAGGACTGCCCTTGGCTGTTGTTTTGCTCGGTGGTCAATTTTTGTATTTCTTCAAGCCATTTTATCTTGACTTTCATAACCGACGTCAGATTTAGAAAAACTGGGATTGTAAATAACTGTAATATCCTTGATTTGATTCTATAATCACATTTCTGTTCTAAGTAAATGTAATTTTTTTCATCTGTTTAAATGAGAAGTAAAATTCACAATTAATCATGATGTGTTACACCCCATTTCCATAGATTTTTAGATCGATCTATCCCTGTGGGGAGTCTCACTAGATTACTGTCAGCTTGGCTGGCTTAAGCGTCTGTCCCGCCTACTAAAAGCTGTAAGGGGGTAATTAACTATAGTGCCCGCTTGGCTGAGTGCAATTTAGCATGAACCCCCAGGGAGTTATGCGATCTAAAACTTAAACTTTAGATCGATCTAAATCTCTGGGAAAGCACCCTTAGAGAGAGAGAAGAAAGCACTCCTGCTCAAATTAATAAAGTTTAAATCTTTCTAAAATAAGTGACTGCAAGAATGAGTAAAAAATACTTCCCATCTCAATAGCTATAAATAATTACCGGTACTTTACAAACCACTTTTTAACTTCAACTTTAAACTTTAAGATCAAATATTTTAGCATCTGAGTGCTGTAATGTTCGACTAGAACAGTTGTTATTTTGAAAGGTGATATTTTAGAATATGAAGAGCAAAAATGTAATCAGCTTACCAAAAACAAGGCTAAGGGCATAGCCAAACGGAGCCTGACACCAGACCATACCAGAGGAGAAAATGATCTCTGCTGTACCATTGATGTAGCCTCCCCCAACCCATGTGGCTAGAAAATAAAAAAATGATAATGATAATTAAAATAATGATAATAATAATTTTGACCAGGGTTACAATCACTTTTTAATATAGCATTTTGTAGAAGGAATGTATCATATAAGATATAAACACAAGCTATTTTCTACAAAAAAGCATGCAATATTTGATTTATTAAAAAGAGAACTGAAGCTTATAAATATAAAAAAAATCTTATTTTTTTAATATGAAAATTGTACATAGATTTTCTAATGCCAACAACACTTTCTTTCTTCATCTGTATATGTGTGATGTGGTTTAACCCTAGGGAAAGGAGGAAATTTAAGTCATGCCTGCATGTTGTGTCACATATAGACACAGATGTCAGTTATATACATATAAATATGTTATCAAATGTGTAAATCACATCAAAGATAAATCTTTTTACATCATGCTCCATAACATCAGATATGATTTAGCATTCTGAAAGGATATTTTAGAAAAAATGCATTTTGTTGAGTAATGTTTTTAAATTGCCGCAAAAGACTGCAAACTGAAATTATGACAAACTTGGGAGACATTAATATAATTTCCCCCTTTGATCTCTGCTTGTCTTCAATATTTTTAGCCCAAAACAATAACTGAAGAAATGCAGAAAAAGCTATTGTAAGAAATAATATTGATTGGTGACACATTTGTTTCTGAAAGTAATAACTTGTTCTGATTAACTTCAAAGTGAATTTCTGAAGACACAAAGCCATGTGCTGGAGAAAGAGGACAGTGTTACGACTAATTGCCCACAGTTAAATCCATTTTAAGTGCTGCCGATGCATAGAACACTCCATTTTAATGTCAGTCTTAATGAGATACATAGATTTCCAAATTATATTTATTTCACAGTGGTACAAGGCATTACAGTATGTTGGAATAAGGTTGGCAGTGCTCAAAATTGTGTTGTGATTACTTATTAGGACTACACTTTCAATGGCATTTCTGCAAAAAAGTGTGGTTCAAATATAAAATTGAGAGAAAGAGAGAGAGAAAGAGAGAGAGAGTATCTGAAATTAATTAAACAGTTAGATTTCTTGAATTTCTCAGCTTATCCGAAGTATGGCTGTTCAGTTTCCCATGATTCTATTGACCATTTATTGATCAACGCTAAAAAAAGCTCCATTAATAAAAGGCGAACTACACTACACTGTGGTTCGGCAGAAGTCCTGTCATACAACGGGTGCAATAAGATTAGCTAGCTCAGTAGAACAATAAAAGAATTTGCCCAAGCTAATGACAGAGAGCTTGTAACTGCCTGGAATCCATTTAGCATTCTAATGGTGGCCAGATTTGCAATCATTGTAGATTTCTGGTTGTTGCTGATTTGTGTGTGCTTGCCAGCAACAATTACCAACATTCTTTCTGCTTCATGTTCCTTAGTTACCAGCCAAGTGCTGTAAATTCTTTGTTTTTCCTCAGTGGGTTACAGCAAAGAAAATGAATCAATAAATAAAAGAAACTTAGTTGTAAATAAAAATCCTCTCGAGAAGTTCATATAAGTGCATTAATAAATACCTACAATATGCACTAAAATGTACTGTATATCTAACAGAAAAGGAGTTTTAAAAAGTTGTTTTTCCTCAGTAGGTTACAGAAAAATGAAGAAAAATCAAAAACAAATAACAAAAAATTGATGATCCAAATAATTTCTTTGAAAATAAAAGAGTGCATTCATGCCAGTTGACGCATTATATGTTATCTGTTATGCAGATAATTCTGAGATCATTTTGTGTTCACTTATACGTATTCATACACAGTTAAACTAGTATATAGTGTCTTCTTAATAAAAAATTTCATCATGTTCATCTGCATATTTGAGCATCTTCTTAGAATTCTTGTAAAAAAATTGACAGGATATCAAAATTTGCACTTGATGCTCAGTAATCTTATAGCATATGTACCACTTGTAATAAAGGTGTTAAAGTCTTCTATTCCAGTGCATATACCTAATGCCTGCTTGTCTCTGGATAAAATTTATGGAAAATAACAAGAGATCGTGAGATACTGGTACAACACTGTGCTTACATGTAAATCGGCACTCAATTACATCATGAAATATGAATTAAATCGCTGTGAAGTGAAGCCCTTGGTGCCACGGAGAATTGCATGATGGAGCCTATCTTAACTGTCTTATTTGCGTACTTCTGGATCAATTTTTGCTAACTGCAATGAAAATTGACTTTTTGATTAACAGCAGAACCCTTGGGGGTACCACAATCTAGTACTCTAGTGACTGTGCAGGTCTCTAATATTTTTGTTATATGAATTTCAAATTAGATCTATAGATTTTTCCAATGCACGTAGGCGTGCAACATCAAATCATATTATTTCTCATTTTCTTTTATTTTCTTTGAATTTATTCATTTACTTATTTGAATGCGTGTGTGTGTGTGTTCTGGTGCAATGGTTCTGACATACTAGTAATTATAAGTATATTTACTACTAGTTTCTTGCATGTTTTCTGACTTATCCAATTTATCAAAATTTAAAAAAAACTTTCAAAATCTAACCTCATACTGTTCTATGTAGAACATGTGTCAGACATACTGGTATATGGATTGATTTCTTGAAAACAGGTACTGTTAAATGATAAAATAGAATTTATAGATTTATAATTGCAATTGTCAGACTGACTGATGGTTTAGTGAGTAGAATCAGGACAATATCCTAGATAACAAGAAACAATCTGTGCAAAAAGCCTGCTATTTGGTGGAAATAACACACATTTTAGGTGATTAGCCTCAAGATTCTGTCTCTCTCTCCTATGGGACAAGAGAGGGCCTCATCAATTGGTCAAAAAGTATTGCTCTGTCAACCTTTCAAGAGATGTCTACTTATAGCCTCAATTTATTGACGTTCAGATTAATCTTCCCGGCTTTGAGCCTCTGGGGGCACTTAATGTTTTCTTTTGAAATTACAGCAGTGCGCATATTGGTATTTTCCTATCAGACAGCCGATTATGGAAGCATCAGAAACATTCTGAATCTTGTGAAATATTATGTTGGATAAAAAAAAATGGGGAATAAGAAGAACTGGCAAAAGGCACCCCTGAGACTTTAATGAGCATGTTTGATTGAATAAAAAAGTTTCATTTCAAAAAGAAAAACTTCTATAAGATCATATATATATTATTTCACACTTTCGCTATATGCACGCGCAAGTCAAACATTTTATCATAATATCATTATAGAAATGCAATTAGATAGGGATAGGTAAACCTGATCAAAGAGTCTATCACACATGCAGAAAAGGAGAAATGAAAAAGGTAAAAAAAAAAAAAACAGAAGTAAAGAAATATATAGAAATAAAGGAAATGCCATGTATGCAGAGTAAGAAATCTAGTAGAGGAATACTATGAGAACTCATTGACACATTTCAACAAATTTTTTACAGAAATCTTTTCATGCTTATACTAAGCTGCTAGCGGCCTAGTGATAAGGCCTGTGCGTGTAAAAATTCTATGACTGTATGTCACCACAGCAAATTGACTAGGGACAATGGGTAATGAATAGCAATGACTTGATGATATAATTGAGTTTTGCATGAAGTACTAATCACTGTGTTATTCCCCCCGTGTTGAGTGCTACTGAAATGAAAAATATTCCTCAAATTTTATATGCCTCTACTGCAATTTCAAAGTTTTTGCATTTATGAAAAAAAGCTGGTGAAACTGATAGTCCATAAGTTGAACAAAATACAAAACTATGAACAAAATAACAAAACTATGCATTTTGCCCATATGCACCATTCCTTGCCTCCTTACCTGTCATTGTGAAGATCCCCACCACCAAGCCTATATTCCGCCCTGCCAACATAACCTCTTCACTGTCAGCATTAGCTTCAGTAGACTTGGTCTTCCTGCCCGCCCATATCCCCACCGCCAGGATGAGAACATAGAAGACGATAATGGAGATGAGGCCAGCTATATTCAACATGGTGGCAACTGTCTTGGTGCGTCAATGTCGGCGCTGTATACTATATGTGGTTTTTCTGAAATTTTAAACAATAAGGAAAATCATACATATGAATTAGTAACTTAAAAGAACAAATATGGTTTTAATTGCAATAAAGGTAACATATGCCAATACACCCATAAAACTACAGGGTATATGCTATATAAGACTAATCATACATGCACACCAAATTGCAATTATAAAGAACACAATAACAAAAACTACCATCTCTCCAAAAATATAAATAAAGCACCCCTCAGGTAGAAACTTTATAAAAAATGAATTGCTTTACCTTCTGTCACAATATCAAATTTGCATATTCTCATAATATATGTAACCTTAATTTAATTTGGGGTGCTGTCAATCTTTGTCTGTGTCTGCACTGTTATGCTAAGACAATGATCAAGACTAAGGTCTTTAGCTCATATGACAACCATCTCTTTAAACACAACTTACAACAGGAAGTACCCATAACCTTATTGCTTTCTGGTAAAATGACCACCAGTGCCCATCCTCCATAATGACATAATAAAAAACCCATTTGAACAGGTTTATGTCACATTATTATCCATAATGAAATCAATTGAGAAGCAAGTGGCAAATGCAGAATGAGCACGTAATTGTCAGAGCAGTTCATCAAACTTAATGATTTTTAATTTCTGTTCTGATGTTAATGGTGGTAGGGGACTACAACTTTATTTCCATTTTTATGTGGCCAGTTTCACAAAATAATGAACTTTTGATTAGAAGTTGGTCTGAATTTATAACTAAATACTAGTAGTATTTAGCTTACCAGTATGTTAACCCCAGAAAATTAGTAACACTTGTTTTAAAACAAACCCGTAGCAAGGGGGGTTGGGAGATTTGAACATACCACCCTTTTTGTTGGAAAAATGTCCATTATGGGTAAAATTTGGCCTAGGAACACAAATGTTTCATGGTAAATTTAGACCCATTTTTCAGAAAAAGAAAATTCTCCTTTTAAATTGCTGGCTATAGGCTTGAAAAACAAATTAAACTGAAAATAAAAGGAAAGAAATAGCTACTACATGTAACTACATGTAAACTATCAGACCAATGGCTATACTTTTTTAATTTGAAGTGAAGAAAAAAACCCTTTGGTCTCCAGTTCTGTTGTGAATCAAGCCAGACAGGTATTACAGACAGACATGGAGGCAAATATTTATTCTGTGTTTCCTTCATACACGATTAGTTCATGACATGGCTTGTGTTCTCTTTTAAAGTCATTGATTAATTACTGTGAAAGGTGCATTGGGTTTGAAGATAAAGAAGTAGACAGGTGTTAATTCCACTCATTCAGGTCGACAAAATATTACAAATACATGTAGGTAAAAATAGTCCAGGAGCTGGTACATAAGATAATCTTTTTCAATTTACGTGCAAAATTTTTAATTATATCAATACCTGTAGATGTATAAAGTTGTAATGGAAATGACAATGTCCACAAGCACCAGTATTTCTGGTCATGCAGTGACAGATTACAAACTAGTTCACATATACTTTGTCAGATCACCATTGCCATTTGTACCATTGCATTCACAGCACTCCAGCTAATATAAATTTACATTCATTTTTTTAAATAACTCATAAGTGATACACAGTATATACACATCCTATCAATTTGTTCTCATCATCTAAATAAAGCTAGAATTAAGTTTCCAGATGTTTTTGAATTTTTAAATAATTGAAATATTTATTTTTGCAACCAAAATCCTTGGAAAAAAACACTGAATTTAGTTCTTTTTTCGATTTGATGAAAGTTGCAAGATACATACTTGTGCACGTAAGGTAATATATCACACATATGGCAATTGTTACATGTATAATCAAATAAGAACAAAATGAAAATATAAAAAAAAAGTCAATAACAGTATAGGAAATTTACAGTATTTACACTCCATACACGATTTTATTCAAACACCCTTTATCAGTTAACACAAATGAAAACATCCTACCACTTTCTTTAAGAAATTGATTTACACAGGTGTTAATTCACCAGGCTCAAGACTATAACCACAGTTTTATAACCACATAAATAGGCCACTATACAAGTTAAATACCACTTCATCAACGTGCTTAACTCCCATCCCTGCAAGCAGTTCAAAACTCTGTTCATTGATTTTCCATTTACCAGTGGCTCCCTTGGGATAAGCTAACTTTCTCGGAGTGGTCCCAGGTGCCCTATGAAACCGACTGACTCTCAATTGCGTCCTTTGTTGATATGACGTATTTCTCCATGCTTTACACAATACAACAGTGGCCTGAGTGCTGTGAAGTGACTGAGATTTGAACACTATGAGGATATGCAATGGAAGTGTCATAAATGCTAGTACTGTACAACAACCAATTCTAGTACCTAATGCTATATGGTTGTTTATCAGTGGGAAAATCTATGCAATATCCCCAGTAATAAAACTATATAACATTGTTTGCAATGCATGTTATCTAACTTTAAAAGAAATTAATTTGTACTGCAGCTGTAAATTTTTCTTATCATGTCAAAACCAAGTTAATGGCATTTAACCACTTTTAGCTTCTACAACAACCCTTACTAAAATACCAGTACATTTTTCCATTTTTCTGTTGTTTTTTAGCTCATTAAAAAATAGGATAACATAAAAATAAACTTTTGATCACAGATTTTAATCATATGTACATGTGTGTATGTCTAAAATTCATTTGAAATCTGAGCTTTTTCCTCTGTGTCCTTTGAACTTTTCTAAGATTTTAAATCAAATCGACTGCTCTTATGTGTCTTAAATTTCTTCCAGCATATTTCACACATGTCACTTCACTTGATATTTTCCTGGAGTTAAAAATGTATACCTTAGATTTATTAAACACAGAACTATTTTTTTCTTGTTGTAAACATACACAAATTCTGTGTTGCAAAATCTACATCCAGTGTTTTTTGCAAATATACATAACCCATTTTCATCAATGTTTCCCTTTGTTTTCAATATATTTTATTTATTGTAAACTACAAATAATGTAAACAATAGATCTGCACATTTTGACAAAGTTTGCAAGGCTACGTATTTTGCATCATGTGCATATTGCTCATGCCTGTAAAGACACAGACACATATATACCCACATGCATGCACATATCCACACACTATATATACTTGCAGTCAGCACAATTTGGTTCTCGTAATTAAGTTGCCATAAATGGCAGAATTATAATCTGTTGGCCTAGAATAATTATATTAAAACAGCAGAAGAGATTTAATTCCTGTACTCTACATGTCTGGCTTCACAGTCAATACTAAGTTAAAGATTTCCAATACCTCACATAACGTCTTCTGTAAACTACATGGCCTTACATAAAAAATTGGCTATTGAAAAACATTGAAAATTTGGAGCAAACAAATTAAAGTGCTCTATCACTGTTCTATTACAGTATATAAAATGATAAATTGTGGAATAACATGGTTTATTGTTTTAATTTCATTTCATTGTTGCAGCAAGTTACATGCACCCACCAATGCAGAGGGTAACGATACTCAAAATTTTATGATATTGTGTAATGTGAGAACACTTGTATTGTAATATAAAACACCACAGGCCCTGAGCCTGCAATTTCAAAGGGAGGGGGTCTCTTCCTGAAAAATTGGATCTTTTACCATAAAATCTTCATGTACCTAGATCAAATTTTAACTAATTAAAGCAGACCTTTTCCTAAAAGGGCTGTTCATTCAACCTCCCCCTCCCCACCCTAAAGGCTGTCCCTTGGGTTTGGGCCTATATCATAAGATTTTGCCTATTCAAATATTTACATCTGCTTAGCATTGTTTCAATTTTCCAAGAGATTCTTATCTATATCTATGTTGAAATACTCAGTTCATTGAATTTCTATTCCTTAATATGATAATATTGAAGTACAGATTTTGAGAATGCAGGTCACATCAGTTTTCTGGCAATTTCAACAATTTTCTCAATTGTTTCTAACTTCCATATCAACATCTTAGAAAGTTCTGTAGAAAGTTACTAGTACAGTACAAGCCTCTGTAGAAAGTTATTCAAAGGGGGGTTGTTGTGACTGCAGGACTAAAAATTATTCCTATTTTCCAAAAAAAAGTTTTGGTTTCCATAAATTACTTATTTCTTACATTCCATTGTTCATTTCCTGCAAATAGCCCAGGGCATGACATTTATTAAGACCCCCAAAAATCAATGTTTATTAGATTGAGATAAAATATACCTTGACATCTCATTGATCTGTGGGGACATTTTGACAAAATATTGCCAATTAATACCATATTTTTCCTGAAATAGCCACACTGAGTCAATTATGCAATATGAAGAGGACCAGCTTTTCTTTTATGTAGATCCTGATGAAGCTTATAAATATTGGTATTCAGATACTAGTGTTGCATATGAATAGGTATGAATATTTAGACCTTTTGATGTTTCAGAAATGTTTCATTTCTCACCATACCCACTACAGTAACTCAGGCATTGTGACCCATAGCCAGCAATTTCAATTAGGAGAATATTTTCTCAGTAAAAGAGGATATATTTCCCTCCTTAGTTGACCAAACTTGAGAAATGGCAAAGAACCTAAATTTGATTCAGAGTGGATCTTTTCCAAGGAAAAGGATTATTCTTTCTATCCCCCCCAAACACACAGCTCCTCCTGCACATTGGCCGGCAATTTAGGTTTAAGATCTATATTGCATTCTTGAGTATGGTCTATTTTCAACTTGAGTTGTTCTTTTTAACAGGCCTCTGCAATCCAACACATTGAAATGTTAGAGACAAGGGCAAAGAAAACTTTACTGCAGCATTCCTATAGTATTCCTTTGAATGAGATATAAACCCCCCAGCAATGGTGTCCGCTCTTAGAATAGCATCCACGCTATTCTCTCCCAATTTAACAAGAGGCAGTCGGAAACAATACGGCTGTTCAATGAATATTTTATGATGAGCAAACAATCCATCACTTGTTCATTTAACTCCCATATCCCATGAACCTTGATTAATTTTTCACAAATACCAATAAATCCTTGTGGCACACACGCCCCAGTGGAAAGTTATAATTGAAGCCTACACACCGTAGTAATGTACATGTATATTAGTATAAAACAATCTAATGAACTGTTATGGTAGATAAATTTTGTGTTAATTTTTTTCCCCTTGTAGAGCTCAATTAATTTGCATGAAAAAAAAATTAAAGAGAAGATTGCTCATAAACCCAGGTGAATAAACATATGTTTAGGTCTATTTGTGAGATTCTTTTAAATTGATTTAAAAAAACTGGAAGTAGAGAGGATTGGCCAAATTTACATAATACTAAACCCCATGCTAATCCTTTAAATATTCATGAAAATAATAAATCAGCTATACTGATATTTTTTGAGAGGTTGTGCAATTTTTCTTTTTTTTTTTTTTTTTTTTGCTACAGGGAAGTTTACTCCCTTTGGCAAGTGTTTGCTGCAGTTTGTGCAGAAAAAAATAACTAATTGGCCATCAAGTGTGTAGGGGATCTATTTAGATGACACTCTTACATAACAGTCAGGCTATTAATATCTCAAAACATTCCCTTACAGCTGTATCACTAAGGCCCAATTCAGAATAGGGGACTAACTAGTCCGAGGGTCAAATATGGCCAATCAACTTGAATAATTCTCCACGGGATAGCTGTTCAGTGTCTATTAGCAGCTTAGACGGCAAGCTTTGTATTGGGTTGCCATATTTGACCCTCGGACTAGTTAGTCCACTGTTCTGAAAGGGGCCTAAGATGTGAAAAAAGCTTTATGACTCTAATTTTTGTTATCCAAGGACAAGAATAAGTGATAAAATATTGTCCATCTCCTTTATCTGATATCAGTCCCCTTTTCATTTCCGTTACTTACATATTCATGGATAATGATCTCAAGTTTTTTTTTAATAGAAGGATATTGTACTGGTACATGTACATGTTTAGTCTGGTGCATATGTAGTCATAATCTAAGTACTGAGTACCACATCACAAAAAGCTTAACGTGGTCTTGATGTGAGGCTTAATGTGTTTGGAATAACAACTAAGGTGTATTAATGTTGAGCAATAATAGGGGATCATCTCTTGGAGTCTCAGAGGATTTTCCACAGACTTAAACAGTAAATCCAAGGCTTATCACAGCATGCCAGCAGTTAACAGATAGGTTTACTGCATAACACTGGTTTTACCTTAATTGATTACAATCACAGAGCTGGATTAACTGATGATTGGTTTGAGGCTATTAATTATATAAGAATACATGTAAAAAACAAAAACAAAAAAACAAAATTGATTAACTAAATAAGGTAGCTGGCAGTAAAATACATATCTAAATCAAAATTGCCCATCTGTGAAAAGAGAATTTATTCAAATGGTTCATGTACTACTAGTAGATCAAAAATCTATAAAATTTCAAAATTCTCAGAATTTTTAAGAATTTTCCATATTTCCCTTCTCCCATTTCCAACCTTAAACCCATTTTGTAATGGTCTTTACTCTTTTTATCTGACACAAATAAATATATAATCATCATCATTATCTGTAGAAATTTTAATTCAAATCCCGTTGTGGCATATCTATAAAATTTCAGGCCTGTCGCAAACTCTTTTGCAAATTTGGAAGAACATGAATACTTTCTCACAAACTCACCACAAACTTTTTGCCAATTAAGGGCTTCTTGCAAATTTGCAGCAAAATTGCAAAAATATTAAAATTTTTTGCAAACCTGTTGCAAACTCAAGATGTTCTTGGAAATTTGCTGCAAATTAGCAGCAATTCAAAATTTTCCTGCAAACTCCACACTGCAAACTTGAACATGCATGCCGCAAAAATGTACATACATGTACTGTACTAGTAACAGTGCACGTGCATGTTTTGAAATCAAGAATAAAGCCCTAAGCTGCATTAAGAGTATTACAGATAGTGTATAGTGTAGATATCTGTAAATGTATTTCATCATAGCTTCAGTGGGTATTTGTCTACAATCAAGCTTTCTTCATTTATTATGGAGAAGAGACTTGGAGCCATTACGTCTGACCCTAATCAGAAACAGAGGAGCAGAGGTAGATGCGGAAAGAATTTATTACTTTTCCCTAATTGGTTTAGGCTGTAATGGAGGATATGATGACTAGATTTTTGCTGAGATAAATGAAATGTAACTTTTGATTATATTCTACAGTCTGACTCTAATAAAAAAATTTTAGAAAGAAAAAGAAGACAAAACTATAAAACTATGTAACTAATATCTTAATTGAGAGATTAAAGTGTAAGGAGATCCATAGATCAATATAGAATTGAAAAAGGAACTAAACAATTCACCCATCCCATTATTTATATTTTTTGTCAATAGCTACAAACATTCTGGCTCAATGAAATGAATATTATCTCATTTTGCCAATTCTTCACTGATTTAAGGGTGCTTTCCCAGAGATTTAGATCGATCTAAAGATTAAGTTTTAGATCGACCTAACTCCCTGGGGGTTCACGCTAAATTGCAGTCAGCCAAGCGTGCATCATAGTTAATTACCCCCTTACAGCTGTTAGTAGGCGGGACAGACGCTTAAGCCGGCCAAGCTGACAGTAATCTAGTGAGACTCCCCACAGGGATAGATCGATCTAAAAATCTATGGAAATGGGGTGTTATATGCCTGTAAAAATCTGGATGATTACGTTTAATCTTCATAAATATCTTTTCAAACAAACAAGAAATTTGTAAGTGAGCCCAGTATCAATAGGATTGGTCTTGTTGCTTTGAAAAATAACGCAGATGCACTGCAGGGCACTGTTAATTCTATGGAACTGATTTAGTTCTGAGAATTACTTATCAATTTTTCCATGAATTCTGAACAGAAAAATTTAACCAATGCCAACTATATTGTTTTAATACCCCCTCCCAATAAAAAAAAGAAAAGGTAAAAATGAATTATTACATATATACTTATACTTTAAACAATTTTAAAAATTAACATGAAAGCAATATCTTATGGGTCCTATAAATATGAATCTTATTCATAAATTATAACATGCCATTGACATTTTTCCAAGGTTGACTTAACATAAAATAATTTGGCCCTAACTTGACCCAATTACTGCATTGTATAACACAATGAAATGAGTTCAGATCAAAACAATTCAACCTATAATAACAGTCAAACTGTCGTCACTTAAATGCCAGATATCACCAGGTTCTGAGCTACCCCCCCCTCCCCCCCCCCTTCCTGAATTTAATTTAGCCTCCGGGGGGTGCAATAAATACAGAAGCAATGACTAGAACAATTTTTGTGAAAACTTAAGTGATTGCAGCCAAATGCTCACCTGTCCCCCGTGGACTGTTTTGTCCAGTATAAAGCTTCTCCTCAATCAGGTCAGTCCGTTATGGTCACCACTAACAGNACATTTTTCCAAGGTTGACTTAACATAAAATAATTTGGCCCTAACTTGACCCAATTACTGCATTGTATAACACAATGAAATGAGTTCAGATCAAAACAATTCAACCTATAATAACAGTCAAACTGTCGTCACTTAAATGCCAGATATCACCAGGTTCTGAGCTACCCCCCCCTCCCCCCCCCCTTCCTGAATTTAATTTAGCCTCCGGGGGGTGCAATAAATACAGAAGCAATGACTAGAACAATTTTTGTGAAAACTTAAGTGATTGCAGCCAAATGCTCACCTGTCCCCCGTGGACTGTTTTGTCCAGTATAAAGCTTCTCCTCAATCAGGTCAGTCCGTTATGGTCACCACTAACAGGTAGGGTAAAATCAGTGGACGCTGTGTAGCATGCAGTTTTCAGACCATATAAATCTTTGAGTAAGGTTTCCAAATTAGAACTGTGGTTTAAGTCCCTTTCCTCTGTCTTTCTCTTCTTCTATCTTTAAGCTGAAATGTTAACCGGTACATGTGATAGCATAATGACTGCAATTTAGCCATTCTCTGCAACATGAGTTGAAAATTGTGTTGTATCATTTTCCCTGTAATTGTTCATAGTTATTTTGTTTTGCTCAAAATTTGGACAAGTAGAATGCCTGTAATCATCCAAGCTCTAAATGAAAATTTCTTATAGCCATACAGCTTAATAATTTTAGCAAAAGCAAATCAATGATACTATTTGGGAGAAAAAATATTTTACTAAAATATTTCATATTCAATAGAATATGTTAAGTACATAGCTATAAATTTACTCATACAATAAAGGTGAGCCCAGGTATTGAGGCAGACTCAGCAGTACTTAATTAGATAAGCATGTCTGAGCACATGGCAAATACACTGTGATAAGACGTGCATATCCATAGGACTTAGTGGACAAGCTCTAGTAAGCACTGAATTAACTTGCATGTACATGTACATGTACACGCAGAGAGTTTAAACTTTTCATGACTTTTTGTGTCTGTATTTGTATTTACCAAGTTCTCAAAGGGTACTTCTTGTCAAAGAAAAATATTCATAACCTTTTCTTCTAATAATAAGTGTTAGATCAAATTTTTGTCTGGGCTAAAAATTCTATGCAAGCTGGCCAAAACAAAATTGCTATTAGATTATGTACAGTAGAGAAAATTAATACCCTGGCATCAGTAATTAAGAATGTAGTGCAAAACTGACAAATATGGACAAAATGACATTTATCAAGACAAGCTTAGGAAAACACAACATTAAGACAGGCATTACAGCAATTTACAAGGCCAATGTGTATTTTTCCCCAGTATTATCAGCTCTCCGATCCAACATAAACCAATACCTCTGCATGTTATGGATTAGTTTCAGGTGTCTTTCCATTGATCTTAATTAGGTTAATTAATTACCACACCATAGACTCCGTTCTGTTCATTAAATTAAACCCAAAATAACTTTTTAGACTAACAACTTCATGCAGAGTGATATCTTCTTACTTTGTATGAAGTAAAAGTACACAGAAGCAACTTTTTTATGAAAAAAAGACGCTAAAAAGAGTTTAGCCTTTTAAATCAATAGTTATTTTGATGATAGAGACTGTAATTATGTACTTCTCTCGTCGATATGGCAGTGCAAACGCTTCCTTTAAAGTTCCAGTGAAATTTATCTGGAGTTACTCTGTTAATGACATGGTTAATTGAAGCCTTCTATTTACTGATCGAATTGACCTAAAACTGAGATCTTTTTTACCACAGCGAAAATTGCTGTTAATTTTCATGTTTACAGTGCTTTTGATTATCTGCTTGCCCAGTAGCTGGTGTAATAGTGATCCAAGTCCTACGGATCACCATTACTAAGAAACGGTTGTCCTAATGAGATCTCGGTTCCTGTCTTATACATGTAATTGTAATACAGGTAGGTAGGATTTGTTTTTCCAGGACTGAGCGTCCCATAGGACTAGCATTACCAGGACGTGCGCTGCTGCCATTCGGGTCGTGACTTCACATTCGGTTTTCTACACGGCAAAAATGAAAGTGGAGGGAGAACTGAAGTGTCGGTAGACAAGTACCTGTACTTTCCAAATAATGGCATCTCTCAACCGTCTTTATTAATTACAACAACATTACCCACCTGACCCATCGAACCAGTTTAGGTCTTACATGGACGCTATTGATTACATTGCACAGTGTATGTAACAGTAAATTACAAAGAACACAAAATATCGATGCACATACAATGGCCCGTAATAACAGGTGCGCCGGAGTAAGCGCTAACAATGCGACAAGAAGTGCGATTTACAGACCTTTCTCCACTTTCAGTTAATTTCACCGTAGTTGAGTTAATTTGCCCGAAGAAGAAATCTCATGTCGGTGAACTCGGTAACAACGCAATGTCCGGCATCTCGCCGTGAAGAAAGAGAGACCAGACCTTTTCCCCCTGAAGAACAATACAAATCTATATAGCCACTTTTCCTTGCCCCAGCGCGTGGCTTCAGAAGGGTAGTATTAATTTTACCAGTTGTAGTTTCTATACTTGCTTTGTGTCCACTATCGATTAGCGGGCGACAGTGAGGGAAAGGGAAAAGAGCTCCTGCTTTTACTAGCTCAGAAATGAGTGGAGATCGATGTTGCAACGACACATGACGGGGTCTTCTTCAGGGGCGGATTTAGGCCGTCTTCTGGGTCTTCCGGAAGACGGTCAGATTTTCAAGTTTACATTAAAGGGTATCTAATTTTTTCTGTCAGAAGACGGTCAAAAATGAGGATGAATCAACAAAGATATAATTTGGAAGACTGTCAGAAAATAGCTCTGGATCCGCCCCTGTTCTTTGGAGGGTTAAAAATACTAATGGCAAGCTGAATAATTTTCACCGGCATTGTGGACTGTTTCAGTTACAATAGTAGATGTATAAGCCGCCTAAACTTGTATTTTCGGTGCCGATGATGCACGACGTCTAATTGTAATTTCATTCCGCATCCGACAAAGAAAATGCCGTTACAAAATAACAGAAAACCTGCCCATCGAGGGAACTTTTTGTAACATACAGTCTAAAGCCGTATCAGCTTAGCTAATGTATACGTACAAGAACTTGATTTCTTTCCCAAACATCCCAATTTATACATTGTATTCTTGTCAAACGTCCCATACCACAGAGCCGTTTTTATCCCAAATTCACCTCCATTGTCCCGCATTTGACGCTCGAGTGTTCGAGATTTTTGTATTGCGTTTTTTATTTATGACACCCTCTCGCCCAGCTTTGATCACCGCTTAGAATGAAGACAAAGTGCCATTTACAGTTCCAAATGTTTTATCATTTCACGTTGTCATCAGTCAGTTTCATAAACACCAACTTTAAATACGCATTCTTTGAGAAGAGCACAGACAGACACACAGACACAAAAAAATGGACAATAAATCCACTGGACGCATCCCATCGACATAAATTCCATAAGGGTACAAATGTAAGTGTAAGCACATGTAACAAAAGATTTTACAACACTTATTTGCTGATCTTTAAACAATAACACGGATTCGATGCTGATATAAAACTATTTTAAAATGATAATTAGTAAGTATGAGACACAATTTACCTTAGTAGCGTAGAAAAATCTCCCAGTAACTTTTCACAACGAATATACGACTTCAGCAGCGCTCAAAGGGCCATCCTGATATTCAAATACTGAATTCATCGAAGTTTTGGAACGCAGGAACTTTCTTCATTCCGCTTGACACTAAATCCAATTGTAGCAATTCAAATTGGGGAGGAAAGCAATAACCGCTTTTTGTTTTGACCGAGCCAGAAGGCAAAGACGCGAAAACCGGTGATTTCTC